CGCGGGGCGCTGGGCCGGGGGGGGTGAGATGGAGGTCCCGGCGGGAGGGCTGGGGGGCGGCGTGGGGGGCAGCCTAGCTGATGATCTGCCGGGGCCGGCCGTAGCTCATCCCCGCCTGTGACGCCCCCTTGTTGCTCCCCATCTGTAGCCCGATGACGTTCTTGCCCTCCTTCAGCTGGCTCTCGGTGAACTCCCGCTTGTGCTCCTGCGCCTTCCTGTGGGGCGGAGGGAGAGGCCGTGGGGCACTTGTGACGCCCCCCCTGGGCCAACCGGACCCTTGTCCCCCATCCCCGTGGTCCCCAGCAGCCCCCATTCCCTCAGGGGGTCCCCAGCTGAAAGCTCAGCGTCTCGCATCCCTGTGCTCCAGGGAATCCTGGGCAGCAGGAAGAGCCCCCTCCGGGTCGCCGTGGGGTGGGGGGGGTCCCCACGCCTGGATCCACCATCCCCCACTTACTTCATGAACCAGTTGGGGTCCCCATGGTAGTTCCCATCGTTCTTGGTGACCGCCAGGCTCCCCAGGGCCATCAGCGTCCTCTGCACTGCCGCCATGTCCTTGGCTGCCGAGGGACAGGGGGGTGAGGATGGGCACGGCGTGGCAGCCCCGCTCCGTGTCCCCCCTGACCCCCGCTGCCCCCCTCCCCTCCCGCACCTTCAAAGAGGTCGACGGTCTGGAACACGTCGGTCTTCACCACCCCGTAGTCCTCGGCCGCCTTGAGGAACTGGGCGATCTGCTCCATCTGCTTGAAGACCATGGTGGGGGGGCTGTCGGGGATCTTGACGGGTTTGGCGCCGTCGGGGTAGAGGCTGTTGACCAGCCTGCTCAGGACCTGCGCCCAGGAGAGGAGAGGAGAGGCTGGGCTCACCACGCCGGTGGCCACACACCCAGCCCCAGGCATCCAGACGCCCCCCCAGCCCCAACTTACGATGCCGTTCTTCAGCCAGACCTGGAAGCCCAGGCGGCCCCGCTCGGGACGCCCCACGGCCGCCCCACACTGCGCCACGATCCACTCCACCAGCCGGTCCTCCAGCTCGTCGTCGTACTTCTTCTCGATCTTGGACTGCACGTCCCTGCTCATGCCGTAAGCCGGGCCCTTGTTCGCCATCGTGGAGGTGGGTGGGAGACCTGGAAGGAGGGGGGGGTGACGGTCACCATCAGGCTGCGGGGACACTGTCACCCTTCCCTGGGGACCCCCCAGCGCCCCATAGCATCCGCCTCACACCTTGGTGCTGGGGGGACGTGCCCTCACGGCTCTTCCCTTGCCATGCAATGGCCCTTGGGGGCACATTTCCCCCCTCGGGGCTGCGGAGCAGGGGGGTCCCGGTGGCCACGGCGGGGCTGGGTGGCCATGGGACAGCAGGTCCCGGTGCCGGGGAGGAGCGCAGGGGAGGCAGGAGGGCGGTGGGAGCCGTGCCCGTGCCCTTGTAAGGGCATGCTGCGGGCAGAGATGGCAGGTAGCTGGCCGCGGGCAGGGATGGAGGGTGCCAGGGGGGAGAAGGCAGTAGGAGCTGGTAGCCAAGCCCCCGGCGGAGCTGGCCTCGCTCCTCCCCACACAGCTCCCAGCTTGGCATTAAGCCACCGAGTGCCAGGGCTGTGCCATCAAGAAGTGTCCCCTGTCCCCCCCATCCACCCCCTGCCCTGGGGCTGGTTGCCCTGGGACCCCCAGGACGGGCTCTGAGACCCAGCACAGCTCGGTGCAGCCAAAGATGCCGACCCTGCTTGCTGCTGGCCATGCAGGGGTACCCCAGGAGCCCCACAGGCAGCCTGTGCCCGCATCCTGAGCGCTGCCAGGCACCTCCAGCGATGCCACAGCCAGCCACCTCCATGCCCCGGCCACCCAGTGCCCCGTGCCCTGGCCCAGCCCGGCGCAGGGGGATGGCATGCAGACCCCAAGCCTCGCTGGTCACGGCTCCCTCGGCCACTCGGCAGAGCCCACTGGCCACCAGCTGCCCCCGTGCCCATCTCCCATCCCCACCAAGGCACACCAGGGCAGAAATGGGGCGAGGGGGGCTGGAAGCCTCTATGCCCACCCTGAGCCCCTCTGGCTACCATGGGGCTGAGCCCCGCTGACCCACAGCCCCGATGGCCGTGGGGTCCTGAGGAGGAGGAGGAGGAGCCCAGAACCCCCAGCAGCATCCACAGCCCCAGCAGCAGCCCCCGTTCCTGGGGAGCCTGACCCTCATCTGGGGACCAGCATCCCCATCCAGGGACCATCATCCCCATCCCGGCGTCCCGCATCCCAGCTGGAGGTGTGGAATCCCCATCTGGGGCTGGCAGGATCACAGTCCCAGGAGCAGCCTCGCCATCCCAGTTACACCGTCCCCATCCCGGCGAGCAGCAGCACCCCCGGGGCCAGTGTCCCCCCACCCCAGGCACCCACC